CAGAGGCTTGCCTCTTCCCGTACACAGAAAGTTAAATTTGTTAATTTGATATTTGATCTTTGATGTTCAGACTGCCTGCTCCCTTTGTTGTAAACTTGAATATAGCCTGACTCCACATCCAAGAAAACTTGGAGCAGTTTTCTCAGAGCTACTGAGATGCTGTCTCCTGGGTTCAGAGTCCTAAATATTCCCACCAAATAAAATAACTCTCTACTTTCAGATTATGACTATATTTTTAGTTGACAGGAATAATTGTGAGAGACTATTGAGACTCATACCCAAGGCTGCATCTGAGCCGAATGAGGGAGATAACTGCTGATACCTCAGGCAGAGCAATAGAGACAGCTCAAACCTCTGACTGAGACATGGACTGAGAGCCCATGTTTGACCCTCATGCTTTGAGGCTACCCAACTCTGGGGAGAGGGTCCCAGTCCTGGAAGAGGGGAAAGCACACAGGTAAATAAAATTGAGGTACTTTGGGGATGACCCTCCTAGCTTTTGCTTCAGTACCTTGGGATTGGATCCCACCCCTGATAGGTCCAATGTATCCACTGATCAGGGGAAAGACTTGCCTCACACTCAGCTTCAGGTGAAGCCCCTCCATCTCTAGTCTGGGCCCCTACCAAGGTGATAGCTGTAGGCACAACCTGAGGAAAGACATGACTTGCACACAAGACAAATCCTGCTCTCCCATCAAAGACTCTGAGCACACAGCCTGCGCAGGGATGCCTCCACATAAGAGTGCCCTCAAGACTGAAGTAGGCTTCGGTTTCACATAACTCACAGAGGAAGAGAAAGCTAAGCAAAATGAAAAAGGAAGGAACTATTCTTAATTGAAAGAACAAGAGAAAAATTCTGAAAAAAATAACGAGACCGAAATAAACAGTTTACCAGATGAATAATTCAAAGTATTAGTAATAAGAATGTTAATGGAATAAGGAAAATAATAGACGAATGCAGTGAAAAATTTCACAAGGAATACAAAAGTATATTAAAAAATCAAGTCGGAAATGAACAATTCAATAATGGAAATAAAAATGCAGTAGAAGAAATGAATATCAGAGTAAGTAACAGAAAAGAACATAAGTTCTCTGGAAATAGAATATTGGACATCACACAGTCAAAACAGCAAAAAGAAAAAAAAAAAAGGAAATAGTTTAAGAGATCTCTATGATACAGTTAAGCATACCAACATCTGCATTATAAGGATTCCAGGAGGAGAAGAGTGAAAGTGATTGAAAATGTATTAGAGGAAATTATGGCTGAAAACCTACAAAACCAGAAGAAGGAAACAGATATCTAGATAGAGGAAGCACAGGGTCCCAAATAAGATGAACCCAAACAGACCTACACTAAGACATATAACAAAGTGTCACAAGTTAGATAATTCCAAAGGCAGTAAGAGACAAACAGAGTCATATATTCTGAAATGCCCATAAAGCTATCAGAAAAGAAATGATAAAGATCAGAGGGTAAACAAATGAAATAGAGATCAAAACAAGAAACCCAACAGAAAAAAATCAGTGAAACCATGAACTGGCTTTTTGATAAATATGAACAAAATCTATAAGCCTTTAGTCAAACTTACCAAGAAGAAAAGAGAGAGGACTCAAAATCAGAAATTAAAGAGGAGGAATGACAACTGATAACACAAAAATACAAAAATCTTAAGAGACTATGACAGTTATAAGCCAACAAATTGGACAATCTAGAAGAAATGGACAATTTTTTAGAAACAAATCAGCTACCAAGATTTAATTAAGAAGAAACAGATAATTTGAAAAGGATGATCACTAGTAGCAAATCGAATTTATAATAATAAAAATTCTTAAAAGTCCATGATCATATGTTCACAGGCCTTATAAGGAAGAGGTAATACACATACTTTTCACATGATTCAAAAAAATTGAGGACTCAATGCTTCCACATTCATTCTATAAGGTCATCATTACCTTAACATGAAAACCAGACACAGACGAGACCAAAAAATTAAATAAATAAATAAAAAACCAAGATCTTTGATGAATATTGATGGAAAAATCCTCAATAAAATATTAGCATGTCAAGATGGATTTATTCCAGAGGTACAAGCATTGTTTGATATTTGCAAATCGATCAATTTGATATACCATGAAATGAAAGAAAAAAGTTACATGAGAATCTCAATTCACACATAAAAAGAACTGACAAAATTCAACATCCATTCATTATTAAAAAAAAAACTCTCATCAAAATGATGAGAGAGCATATCTCAACATAATAAAGTCAACATAACATATCTCAACATAATAAAGTCAAAGCCACAGCTAACATCACACTCAACAGTGAAAGCATTTCCTCTAAATTCAGGAACTGAAAATGATGCCTGCTTTCACAACTTTTATTTAGCATAGTATTGGAAACTCTAGCTACAGCAATTAGACAAGAAAAATAAATAAAAGATACCTGAATCAGTAGGGAAGGGGTAAAGTTGTCACTGCAGATGACACGATACTCTATGTAGGCAATCTGAAAGCCTTCACCCAAAAACTATTAGAACTAATAAAGGACACAGATTAATATACAGAAATCTGTTGTTTTTCTATATATTAAGAATGGAATATCAAAGAGAAAACAAACAAAAATCCTGTTTACAATCACATCAAAAGAATAAAATATCTAAAAATAAACATGACTGAGGAGGTGAAAGACCTATATTTTGAAAACTAAAACATCATTTAAGGAAACTTAAGATGACACAAGAAATGGAAAGACATCCATGCTCTTGGACTGGAAGAATTAATATTGTTAGAATGGCCAGACTTCTCAAAGCTATTTACAGATATAATGCAATCCCTATCAAAATACCTACCATATTTATCATAGAACTAGAACAAATACTCTTAAAATTTATCAGTCAGTTCAGTTGCTCAGTTGTGTCTGACTCTTTGTGACCCCATGGACTGCTGCATGCCAGGTATCCCTATCCATCACCAACTCCCGGAGCCTGCTCAACCTCATGTCCATCGAGTTGGTGATGCCATCCAGCCACCTCATCCTCTGTCATCCCCTTGTCCTCTGGCCTTCAATCTTTCCTAGCATCAGGGTCTTTTCCAATGAGTTAGTTCTTTGCATCAGGTGGCTAAAATATTGGAGTTTCAACATCAGCCCTTTCAGTGAAATTTCAGGACTGATTTCCTTTAGGATGGACTGATTTGATCTCCTTAACATTTATATGGGACCACAAATGACCCCAAGTTACCAAAGCAATCCTGATTGGGGAAGGCATGGAGTGACAAGGCTCAGTATATAACATTTACAGTCTTCAGACTATATTTCAGACTACAGTAACCAAAACAGTGCAGTATTGGCACAGTGGCACAAAAATCAATAGAAAAGAAAGGAGGGCCCAGAAATAATTCCAAGCATCTACAGTTAATTTACCATAAATGAGGCGAGAACATACATGGAGAAAAGACAGTCTCTTCAACAAGTGGTGGTGAAAATGTTGGACTGCTATATGAAAAACAATGCAATAAGAACACTGTCTCATACCACATGTAAAATTAAACTCGAAATGGTTTAAAGATCTAATATAAAGCCTGAAACCATAGGACTACTCTTTGACCTAAATTGTAGGAATATTTTTTGGATCCGTCTTAAGGCAAAATAAAAAACCCAAAAACCAAAAATAAACAAATGGGACCTAATTAAACTTAAAAGCTTCTGCAAAACAGAGGAAACCACTGACAAAATGAAAAGACAACCTACTGAATGGGAGAAAATATTTGCAAATGATATGATCAGTTAAGAGTTTAGGTTAAACATGTATAAATGCTCATATAACTCAATGTTAAAAAAAANATTGGAAGGACTGATGTTGAGCTGAAACTCCAATACTTTGACCACCTGATGTGAAGAGCTGACTCATTGGAAAAGACCCTGATGCTGGGAAAGACTGAGGGCTGGAGGAGAAGGGGGTGACAGAGGATGAGATGTTTGGATGGCATCATCAACTCAATGTACATGAGTTTGAGCAAACCCTGGGCAACAGTGAAGGACAGGGAAGCCTGGTGTGCTGCAGTCCATGGGGTCACAAAGAATTGGTCATGACTTAGCAACTAAACAACAATGAATAGTTAAGAGGCATCTAAACTAGGAATGGACAGGATAGCATTGGATACAGTAAGGGTCCCTAGTCATAAGAAAGAAGACAGAAGCTGAAGCAGAGGACAAAGTAGCTTGAGGGATATGGTGGTGGGAGCTTGGGGCCATTTTGTGTGTATCTCTGTGTGTGTGTTCAGTCACTCTGTTGTGTATGACTCTTTGTGACACCGTGGACTGTAGCCTGTCAGGTTCCTCTGTCCATGGAATTTTCCAGGCAAGAATACTGAAGCAGGTTGCCATTTCCTACTCAGGGAATCTTCCCAACTCAGGGATCAAACCCACACTCTTGAGTCTCCTGCACTGGCAGATGGATTCTTTACCATTGCACCACCTAAGTAATGAAATAGGCTGGGAATAAAGTTAGGGCACAGGTATTGGGGGTTTGAGGGGCAAAGAGAAGATGTGACAGAGATGTCTAGAAGGGTGAATGGATTCATGAAATACAGTAGAAACCATAGTAAGTGCCCATGTGACATTAGTGACAAAAATTCCAGTTAGACCAGTCAAACTTTTTTTGTTGTTTTTCCAGTTGCATTCAGCAGTAAGGTGCCAGTTCAGGACAGATAAGAATTGGATTTAGCAATGGTTATGGCTTACTAGGAAAGCAAAAGAGAGGGGAGGAGGGAGTAAATGATTATAATGATGGACTGTGGAATCTAAGCTAAAAAAAGAAGAAACAGAATCTTTAAAATAAGAGATGGGTGAGGAACAATGAAAAGAATGATTAGATATGGGGTGTCAGAGGGGGTGGACCTGAAAACTAGGGGTTGGCTGAAATTGAGGTGGTGAGATGACTTAGTGAACACCTTACGGCATGTTGTCATACTGCCTCACGGGTGTTGTTTTTACTTACAGTATTGACATCTGTCTCCCGTGTGTTCAGGCTGGCAGTGGCAATAAGGCTGGTTCCCAGCAGTAACACTGCAGGTCCCTCCATTTTGACAAAAGTCCTCACAGACTGTCTTACCACAGTTTGGTCCAGTGAACCCCAGCGCACAGCTGCACGTGGGTCTCCCTATTGAAAAAAAAAATAATGAAAAGAAAATGAGTTGACAAAATTGTTTACCGACATGGAATCCTTGCTAAGTAAGATTCAGGAAGTCAGTATTCTGGGCAAAATTTGTCCATTGCTTATTCTGTGACTTTACACAGTAACATGACCTCTTTGGGTCCTAGCTTTCCCATGTTCCAACAAAACGTAGATTAGAAGATAACTCAAGCTTATATTGGGTAAAATGGTCAGAGCTCATTTTATGAACAATTCTATATGCATACGTGTATTTTATGCTTTGAAGTGCTTATCTTATTCTTTTGTACTTCTCTTTTCATGCCCATTTTACTTTTTTAAAAAAAAATGTAAACTTTTTATTTTATATTGGGGTATAGCCAACTAACAATGTTGTGGTATAATTTCAGAAGAACAGTGAAGGAATTCAGCCATATATATACATGCATCCATTCTCCCCCAGCCTCCTCTCCTATCCAGCTTGGCGCATAACATTGAGCAGAGTTCTACCACACCATAGGTCCTTGTTGTTATACCACAAGTGCTTGTTTATACATTATAAATATAGCAGTGTGTAATGATCTTCCCAAAGTCCCTAACTATCACTTCCCCCCAGCAACCATAAGTTCCTTTTCTAAGTCTGTGAGTCTCTGTTTTGTAAGTTCATTTGTATAATGTCATTTTGCTTTTTAAATTATTTTTGTTCTACTCATGTGGTAATACAGATTCTTTTGGCCATTAAAATATAAAATAGAGACAATCATATTTCACAGTGTTCAATCATCATGTACTAATCACTGCTATAACTATATAAAATATGAGTATAAGTTTATTATAAGTAAATATTTTAATAAATTTAAAGTAGTCATATCATCTATAATAAGATTTATGAACATTAGTTATTTTATTTGATATAATACATATATTACATTTAGTTTATAAGCACTTACTGAATCTTATTTTATTTCATTTTATATCTTTATTCATAGTAAAGGGCTGTCATTTGCAGTCTACTAAGATGAGTTAAGAAATCTAATGTTAACAGTACACACTAGCAAATCTTACAGACTTTCTTTGGATATCTTTATTTGTTCTATGGGAACTTACATCATAATGAAAGGTGAATAGTTCTTTCAAGTGTTTAGAGCATAACACAATTAACTGTTACAGCAAGAACGTCTCTCTAATTGCCTGGACTGTCAAGAACTGAGTAGAAAATGAAGTCCAGGGCTAGGTCTATAGGAGAGGTGAAGGACAACAAAGCAAAACGAAAGGCTGCCATTTGTAATGGGGGCAGAATCAAGTTTAGAGGCTGTAAAAATATTAACACACAACATAAAAGGGAATAAAAAGGAAATTCAATTATAGATCTCAATTAACGATGACTCAGAAAATGTCATTCCATTATCTAGTATCAGAGAATATCCAACCATCTCCTCTTTCACCATTATAGACAAGCAACATAATTAAAACGGTCAGCAAAATGCATGAGGACAAGGGCTAAGACTTGAAGTGTGAAAATGATAAGAGTTGGTTTTTTTTATGCTGTTGCCATAGATTCTACATTGAAGGACAGTTCTATACATATATATTTTTGAAAACCATTATTCTTAAAATGAATAAAATAAAATGAATGAAAGTCCACAATTGGACTTTGAATTGAAGGTCCACTATTTATTTTACTTTTAAAGGACTCCACACATTTATAAACCCTAGAAGGTATTGCTTCTCAATGAAGAAAGTTATATACATTTTTACAGTGGGTAACCATTGCTTTAAAACTTATTTATACATGTTTTTAGTTTGGTGGCAAATAAATGCCTACTAAAAGGTTGAGAAACAAGGTAAATTATATACATAATAAAGATGAGCAACCTCATATTTATTTATTACCAGAAAACAGTTTTAAAACTTTTAGCCAAATATTTTTCTTTTAAAGATAGTGAATTTTCCAGCTGTTGCTTACATACAGGCAAACTATCTTCATTGGAACAATGCTGAGTTAAAAAGGAAGAGACATAAACAAGAGAATAAATAGTGGTAGAAGATGAAGAGGACAAATGATTGTTAGAACATGATCACTAAGGAAAATGAAAGCCTTGAATAAAAGAGGTAATAACTCTAAATCAACAGGGACCAATGGATGACTTACAGAGAAACAGAACATATAATCAGGAACACAAATAATCATGAGTTAAGTGTGAAACAAACAGTACAGAAAGTATGTCAAAAGTCAAAGTCAAAGTGTTAGTTGCTCAGCCGTGTTTGACTCTCCGCAAGCCCTAGGACCAGAGCCTACCAGACTCCTCCATCCATGGGATTTCCCAGGCATGAATACTGGAGTGGGTTGGAATTCCCTTCTCCAGGGGATCTTCTAACCCAGGGATCGAACCTGGGTCTCCTGCATTGCATGCAGATTATTTACTGCCCAAGACACCAGGGAGGCACAGAAATTATAGGAGAAATCAAAATGCATTAGGGCAATCAGAAAAAATGCCTTATGAAGATAGATATTGTAGATTTATGTTTTTCTACCTTCTTCCTAGTTTTTTTTTTCTTTTTTATACTAGGAGTGAAAAAATATTGTAAAATGATAGAAGTTTGAAAGAAATAAACCCAATCTGCTAAGGCACTTGAAAATTCCTCTGTTCCAGTTACTCAGAGAAATGACACCATGCTTTTGTCTCATCTACAGCTGTTTTGAAACAAGGGCAGAGTGACCAGGTTGTCCTCCACCTAGCATATGCTTCACATCATTTAAAATCTATCTGACTTATTTTCAAAAAGCTTCTCTTCCTCTTCCTTTGAAGAGAAGATTTATTTTTGACAAGTATAAATCTTCAAATTCAAGAGAATATTATCTAACTTGAAACAGTGTGGTGATATAGCAGATCTTTGGTTTGCTGATGGGAAATGAACCATCTGTTGCAGAATTTTATAATGGGCTCCATCTAATATTTCCAAGAACTTCTCTGGGTACACCCTAACTAACTAGCTGCATTGGGTTCATTTTATAAAGATTTTTTAGGTAGCTGAATTAGATTTTGACATTTGAAAAGGAAACAGTACTGTTACAATGACTAAGATATCAATAGAGATTTATAGCAGTGATACATGGGGAGTTGACAGCCTGCTTTAAAACTTATTTTCAATCAGAAAGAGCATCAATTGACATGAGGAAGAAGTGAGAGAAAGAGCTTCCTGGCTCTAATCAGACTACTTTCTACAGCATTCTTAGCTCAGACTTTAATAGTGTATGCTGTCAGACTGCCTGGATTTATAGACTATCTATGCCAGTCACTGGTGTGGGACCATGGGCAAATATCAGCTCTGTTTATTTCCTCATGTGTAATGGGGCTAATTATAGTACCTACTTCATGAGGCTGTTGTGCAGAATCAGAGAGAAAAAGCGAGAAATATGTCTAACTGTGCCAGGTACATAAGGCACTCAGTTACATTTTAGCTCTGAATATTATTGTTATTCCTTCTGACATTCACTGCTTACAGGTATGACTTAGTGGCCCCATCTACAAAGACACTGAAACATTTTAGAAAAATCATTCTGAAATTTTCCTTATATTACACACTCTATCTCCATTAGTCATTTCAGATACAATTAAATTTGAATATATTTGTATGGCAGTGATGAGGTAAAACAGGAATTCGACACCAACTTTACCTCACACTCTACATTTTTCAAACATTGATGAATGAGTCTTCTCTTTTTTCCTTCCAAACATGCTTGACCCTACCCATTAAAAGAAAGAACACACACACAGACAAAAACAAAACTAATACTTGTATAACCTCAAATATTGGTACACTCTCAAGCTTTTTTCAAAAGAAACCTACACTTACTGCTTTCAACTCTACCAATATATGACAAATCTTTGAACATAAAGTCACTCTAATCCTTCACTTGGTTTGTAGTTTTATTTTTTAAAACACTTAACCTGTTGCATCTCTTTGTTCTCTCTGAAGAGAGACCAGATCTCTCAATATGTAAGTGATCCTCATGCAATCATTTCTGATTCACTCTTGGTAAGAAAGGGTTAGGAATGGAGAAGTTAATGTTGGTGCTGTCTTTACTGTATATTGATGTACCCTTGCAAAGCTACCCTTTAATGTCTTGATCGCTAAATCCACTGATTTCTTCTCAATCATCCTCCTCCTCAAATTTTCTCCATAATTTTACGTTTATCAAATACCTACACTTGAAAATTTTCTCTCCACTTGGCTTCTAAGACACTAGCATTGTTGATTTCTCTGTATTTTTTCTGACTGCTCTTTAACAATTGCATTTATGTTCTTTTTCTGTCTAACAAAAAATATTTGTCCAAGTCTCTTTCTGGTGATGTGACTCAGTTTCTCAGCTGGGATAATCATCTCTCTATCTGAATGTCTTGGTCTTGATTTTCTGACTCTGGGTTCATTCTCCTTAAGTTTCAAGACCTCTATTTTCACTCTGTTTTATGTCCCTGCAAGGATATCTCTAGCTGTTCAATAGGTTAATCTATTCCTCCCATGACTCCCTAAAAGAAAAAAGAAAATTCTTCTTATAAACATTGTCCTCAGGGGCACACACATGATTTCACTAGACTAGAAGCTCTACCAGTGCCACATTCAGGTCCACACTGTATGTTAACAAATTATCTTGCTAGATGTACACATATAATACATAGAGACCAATGTAGTTACATTGGGCTTCCCTGGTAGCTCAGTAGTAAAGAATCTGCCTGCTAATGCAGGAGATGCAGGTTTGATGTTTGGATCAGGAAGCTCCCTTGGAGAAGGAAATAATAACCCACTCAGTATTCATGGGAAACCCCATGGAGAGAGGAGCCTGGCAGACTACAGTCCATGGGGTCACAAAAAAGTCAGACACGACTTAGTGACTAAACAACAACAATAACAATGTAGTTATGCTGTTCTGTTTATAAATAAATGAAAGCTTATAACTTTCTAGAGGACTTTTTCTGATGTGGACCATTTTTAGTCTTTATTGAGTT